CCCCATCCTCACTGATGTAGCCTGGTGGAGGTGTTTCTGTTGAAACACACAAAAAATGTGATCTTGAACAAATCTTGAAAGCATGTCTTCTCTCAAATCACATTTTCTTTCCTGACATGATGTAAATACAAGAAGCAAACTCACCTGGTATATAGTTGTTTGGAGGTTCGATTCCTGTTGGAAAATTTGTGTTCTCAGGTATGGAATGAGTGTAGTCATCTAGAGGTGGCAGCTCTGGCAGGATTTCTGAGTGTCTTGGCACGAGAACAGGAGGCAGCACTAAAGTGTTGGGGGAAAAATTACCAGAAGAGATTTACATATTTAAAAAAATGGCTTTAAAATGTTGCCGCTCACCATTCATTACAACTTCTCATATTCAAACGGCACAATTTGGCTCACCTGGGGTCTCCACTCTCTGGTAGTGGTAAGGGTTGATGCAGACTTCGTCCTTCTTGAGGTGAAAGGCATACTCACAGGCCTCAATGGCACGCAGCTCGTGGTGGCTGTGAAGGTCTGGCCATCGCCACAAACGGCAGTAGATAACATGGGGAAGGCCCTTCCTGTGGGAGACCTGGAGACGGCCGTCCAAGGATCTGATTGAACAGCAAACAGGAGACGGTGGTGAGAGGGGCAGAACACAGGGGAGGTAGAGGGGGAGGAGTGATACATAATATGGCCAGGTAGGAGAGGTAATGGAGATGGATTGACGAGAAACAAGGATGTTCTCAGCAACCGTCACCTCCAACACTATGATGACAACTCTCCCACATCAAAGTTGTATACACAATAGTTGAGATAGTCACCTGGTTTGGTCAGGGTAGTTGTAAAGGCCTGATGTATCCCACTGTTCTATCGTATTTGGTGTACTCAGTCCCCATATTTCAGAGCAATTGCTGCACACAGAGAAAACAACAAAAACAAAAACAAAAAACAAATGATAAACATGGGACATGACTCATTCAGAAATATCAGTATGGGTATGTAAACACTAAAAGGCCTCTTTTATTGGAGTCTCATGGCAAAAGAAAGACATCAAATTTCAGCTATGAAAATGAAAGATGGGAACTTCAAATAAGAGAAGCCTTTTTCAACCGAATCAAGGGAGAGGAAAAAAAAAAGCAAAACCCAAACATGGAATTTGCTAGCACGCACAATGAGTGAGACAAAGGGCATTCTTCACATTGTGGCATTGTATCAAACACTGAAAATAACTCTTTCACTATGATTGTTTATGTCAGAACTTATCTGGAGACATTCAAACAAACACTGAAGACACACAATGGCACAAGAGAAGGGGTGGGGGTGGCAACCTTGGCAAAAAAGAAAAAGAAGAAAAAACCTTTCCATTCTCAAAACACTGACAAGAAAATGGACAGAAAAATGTGAAATTAAGACAAATGGAGAGTAGTTGCTTCTGAATAACAGGACAATAACAGATGCTACGTATTATAAGCTAAAAATACACAACAACATGCATTAGACTTTGTGATTGTAGTCGTCTGGCTCAAGACAAAGCTGGAAATCCATTTTAGTCCACTTACCCCAGAAACGTTTAGCTCATAATATCAAGATGTGGTATTAGCAATTTCCACTGCAGGAAACTGCATGATTGCAACCTAATGTCAACGTGACACCTATCAAAGTCACTAAACGCTATAAAACAAACCAGTATAAGTACAGCTGCTTGAATGACATTACTTTTAGCTGACGTAGATACCATTTCACTCACACTGAGCCAGTCACTCTATCACTAAAACATACATGTCCTAGAACAACTCTCAGGAGATAAAAAAAACAGTTATCTATAGACATCCAAACATTTGATGTGGTACTTGGTGGAACATCATTGAAAGATGTCTGTTAACACGGTGTTCCCACTGAATGCAAGTCTGGGTCATGAAGGCTGGCTGACAAAGATCCACATCAATTGAGCTTTCAACATTTCTCTCCCATGGGACTAATACAAACTGTCTAACAGCAAATATAATATAAGCTTTTAGTCACAGAAACATGAAAAAGCAGAATCACCAACAATCAGCAGTATTATTGTACCTGGGGATGGTAACACACTTTGTGTTACAGTTCTGTGTGGTGATGGCCTTCTCGAGCTCATCTAGCTGACCCGTCTTCTTCAGCTTCTTCACTAAGCTCTTCACGGCCTTCTCGCACCATTTCTCCTCTTGTCCGTTCTGCTCTGCGCCGCCCGCTCCTCCCGGGCTGCTAGTCGATTTCTTCCAGCCCAAAAGCCTCTTCACCACAGGAGGGGTGAATGGCAATATGGAGGACATCTTAAGCTGGACAAGCCAGGAGTCTCCACAGGACTTAATACAAGTTTTCTCTCACACACAGACAAGAGGGGACTGGGAGCTACAGTTTCGGGCCCTTGCTCTCAGGAGCCCCTCTACTGACCACTGAGTCACAGGATGAACTCCAATGCTAGCAGTGTAAACTCAGAAGAGACGGACACCTTGGGAGAGAGGCATACACAAAGTACATCATTACAAATAAAACTACAGAAAAAACAAGAGCATTTAAGCTTATAAAAATAACAGGCAGGCATATACAGTGAAACGCTAAAGTCTTGAGCTACCCTTCATGTCTTTATACTTTTTCTAGAAAACTGGGAAATAAGTGTAGTGATGAACTAAAATGTGTGCAAACATAAACAGAAATGAAATACAGTTTATAAGGCAAAAACTTTTAGGGTCTTTAAGTATTTTTCGGGAATAATTCTCTAGGATTCCCGAAGGACATTTGATGGTATTCTTTGGATTTTGTCTGCCTTTTGTTCTGTTCTCTCTCAAGATGATCCTATGCTTGTTCAATAATGCTGAAGTCAAAGTTCTGTGGAGGCCAGTCCATGACTGACTTTGCTCCACTGTGTGTTTTTATAACCAGAAATGGTTTTACTGCACCAGCAGTGTGTTTGGGATCACTGTCGTGTTGTAAAATTAAGCAGCAACAAGTCAGATTTGCTCTTGATGGTACTTTTTAATGCCTGTCATTTCACCGGTTTTGACAAGATACCAAACACTGCTACTAGAAATGTAGCCCCAAACTATGACAGAGCCTCCACCATGTTTTACAAATTGCTGTAGGTGCTCACTAATATGCCATATCTGTATTTATTGATATAAACAAAAAATAAATAAATTCAAATTTGAATTCACCACTCCATAAAACCTGTTGCCACTGATTTCCAGTCCCGTTCTTGTGTAATGTGGCACACCACAGCTATTTCTACTTAATACTAGTTTATGCTGGCAAGTCATCTTTTGCATTTCTTAAATATTTAACTAAAGGAATGGGAACAAGTTGTGTTATGAGGCTGCCTAAAGATACACTTTAGGCATCACTTAAGATACAAATATGTATGAATGAGTCATAGGTCAGTGAGAATGGTTTAACAAACAACGGGACAGGGTCTAGGCTAAAAATGAGTGAAAAGGGAGCCGATATCCAAAGAAAACCTTTGAAACACCTTCAGAAAGCTCGGAGAACTACTGTTCAAAACCACTTAAAAAACAAAAGCAAAATGTTAAGAAATGAGGGCGGGCTCAAGCCTTTTGCACACTATTGTACTAGACACCGTTACTTCAAAAAGAAATAAGCAGGACTCTTTTGTCAGCAGCACTGACTCTTGTGTGAAGTAAAGAAATGCCCACCTGATGTTAGCTAGTCACAAACACTGCCTGGCACCTCAACTATTTAGCTTGCAAAACAATGAAGTTAGCAGACCGGGTGTGTCTCTTCCATGCCCAGAAACTAGCACGACAAACTTTTAAAGAGCGCTGTGAATCATATCAAATCAATGTGAGAGTATTTTGTGACAGCCAGTTAGTGCTAACACTAACTGGCTTTGGAAGGCCGGCTTCTAGCTGCCTGATAGGGGCCCTGCCTGGATCAAGTCAGCACTAAATCAGTTTATCAGAGCTAGCTTGTGAATTTCTGTAATAAATCAAGCAAAGAGCGAAATGCAAAAAAAAGCCACAGATAATGAAATTCAATAAACCATAGGTAGTTTACGGAGAATTCATAATCTAGCTAAGGCAGCTAACGTTAGCTTAAGCAAGCTAGCTGCCAGCTTGTTATCAAAAATCCTTTTGTTGTGATCCACGAAACAGCCTCCTATGCGCAACAGTCAAGTCGCGCTACTTTTCTACCTACCATCAGGCAGTCAAATACAGATAAGACACAATTTATCCAATCTCACAAAATGTCACCATAAGGGTATACACAATGTAGTCTATCAGTTGAATAAAGCTACCCGTTCTCTGTGTCTTTTACTCAAACACAGTAAAATGAGCTAGCATCTTGGACGAACTCTTCCAAACTGAGCCCTGTCTCCCGCTGGCTAACGGAGCTACATCTCCCACACAAAACAACATGCTTCAAAGTCAAGAAAGCCGCTCTAAACGTTTCAATAATTACCCCAGTCTGAAAATTCCAGCTTCCAGTTTCCGAGGAAGAGATGTGCGCCTCTCTAAACGCCTTGGTGACATAAAAATACATGAACGCTACTGTACTGCAGCTAATTTTGACAAGGCTCTTCTCAACTTGCCACCAATGCTACACAAGCTAGTTAGCTAGGTTAGCTAGACCGGAACAACACAACAAACCTGTTGGCTACGGGCAAGCGCTTAGGCCCGCCTATCAAAAACGTGATTGGAGGATCGGACGAAGACGTAACTGAATACTGGCTCTTGTCCTTGACAATCTTCTTTGTTTATTTGACAGCATGTGTTTATATCTGTCATCGTTTACGGAGGATTGGAAGCAAAACCAGTTCATAGCAGCATTTTTTTTATTACTTGGGTTATCATTATTTACATTTTCCCAACAAAATTAAATAGTAAATTGAAAAATAGGATAAGTTTTATTTTTCACTCCGGCTTATTTATGAAAATTTATCTTTAGAGATATCAGGTTTGCTGAAAATTTAGTCAGAAGCAATAGCTCCTCCCCTCAGGCAGGTGTTCAATTAGGTTATATTGGCTTCACCTGGTGTCGTTATAAAACACTACATCTATCCACCTTTTTTACCCTGTTTTTGTTTTTTGTGGCAATGGGTGGATGTTTGTTTCTCTGTCTGGTGTTATTATCGGGCTCCTTACAGGGTGAGTGTGGGGCTACCAAAACTGCTTTTCTAGACCTTCTAATTTTGCAGTGACTACATTTTTTTGTCCCTTTTCTTTCAATTTAATTCAAGTAGTTGTTTCTGCTGGAAGTGGTATCAGAAGTTGCACCCGGGACTCTAAACTGTGCAGAGATGGTTCAGAGTGTGTGCTCTACAGCTATCTGTGTGATGGAGAGCTGGACTGTACGGATGGTTCAGATGAAGAGGATTGTGAAACATCATGCAGCAAAGGTATGAGACAGTGTGTATGTTAGATTAGACAAATTGAGTAGCAGAAGTAGTTGAAGATCACAACGGCAGTCACCTGAAAGCACGAATAAAGACCATACAATAATCGAGGGAAAGCCAGATTACCCCCTTGGAGTAACCACCTGGTAACACCTGGAAGGAAAAACCTTATTTGACAGGAAGAAACCACTGGCAGAACCAGGCTCAGGAAGGGACAGCCATCTGCCACAAACAGTTCAGGGTGAGGGGATGTAGAGCCAGAGATTAATAACTAATGATTAAATGCATGGTGAGTGAAGTAGAAACACTCAATGCAGCCTAGACCCATTGCAGCATAACTAAGGGAGGATTCAGGGTCACCTGCCTTAACTTTAAGCCTTATCAAAAAGGAAACTTTTAAGCCTAATCTAAAAAGTAGAAAGCGTGTCTATCTCCTGAATTCAAGCTGGGAGCTGGTTCCACAGACAAGGGGCCTGAAGGCTTTGCCTCCTATTGTACTTTTAAATACCACAAGTAAACCAGAATTCTGGAGACAAGGTGCTCTATTGGTGTTATTATGGTACTATGTTTTATGAAGAACTACGATTGTGCATGTGACTGTAATGCCTGCACACAAGCAGATCAGTTCCAGTGTGCCCATGGGAAGATGTGCATCGAGAAGAGCCAGGTGTGTGACGGTGTGCCTCAGTGTCAGGACCGCTCTGATGAGCTTCAGTGTGTGACGCTAATGAGGGGCTGTGTTCATCACTGTGACAACAAGACCCGCTGCCTGCCTGCAAACTTCCTGTGTGATGGCGAGGAGGACTGTTCAGATGGCACAGATGAAGCCACTTGTGGTACCTTCTGATGTATTTATAGTACTGAATTGACACTCGTTTTTATGTTGGACTTGTGCATTTATTAATTTTTTTTGGTTTTGAATTATAATGCTTTCCCCACTGTATTTTATTTTATTGTTATTATGTATCCAGCAGAAGACAAAAAGGAGGAAGAGACCATTACAACCTCTGTGCCGTCAGTCTTGGTTGGCCCTTCTAAACAGTCCACCTCTTCTCACCCCATTAAGTGTTCTTTGGGCTTCATACCATGCAGTGACAACTCGGAGTGTATCCAGAACCGCTATTTCTGTGATGGTGAAGCAGACTGCAGAGATGGTTCAGATGAGGCCAAATGCTCATCGTCTTGTGAAAAGGGTAACCTGTTTGTCATCTTGCTTGTTATTAATATGGCTTTACTGCCATCTAGTGAGCAACGCTAGTTTCACATCAGTATTGGTGCATGGCCAGTTGACGCTTTGGCTTTTTACTATCAGAGCACCCCTAAAAATTACTATAGCAATAGTATTTTCTTAAAGTTATATTTTTCTAACTTTTCTAAAGACGACAGCACAGGATGGAATGAAAACAGGCTACATATCCAGTGTTGATGATGTTACAGTGTACTCACACAGAGCCAGGTTTGTCATTAACAGTCTAATAACTCTTGTTCCTGCGCCAGAAGGACGATGCTGAGGTAATTTTATGACACAGATCAGTGATGCAAATTTAAAACGCACTAACTGCAATATAGCAACAGTTCAAACTGTTCTGATAATGCAGCTTATAAAGTGTCTGCTTAATTCTATTTGTTCTCTAAATGGCATCAAAAACGCTAGTTAATGTAGCTTAAATCACTAGAGATTATTAGCCAGCTTTAACCTTCTGATCAACTAGTCTGCTGGGAAAATTGGGAATCTAATCCACCCTGAAATCTCTGGTCACCCATCTTATTAGGTTGCTTTTGAATGTAAAATTGTAGTGTTTATCTAGTTTATTTGAGACGTGCAAATGTGCAAAGGGTTGCTTTCATTTGCAAACAGCATATCCAACTAATATTAATTACAAGGCACTGCATATGTGACATTATGATCGGGAGCTGAGTCCCCCCAGCATTGCCACTACAAACTCTGACATTACATGGAACCAGGGCACTATATGCAGATCAATAAATGTAGACCTAACTGTGGAATTTAGGATTAAAATCTCTTATTGTAACTGAAGCTCAAACTGACAGATGATATTTGTGTCAGCAGATAAGCTGGACAGTTACAAACAATCTAATGTGTATGCAGTAGGATGGTCTATGCGTTTGTAGATTTACAGATGTATGCACTACAAGCCTGAACCCAAGTGAGACATTAATGTCAACATAATAAAAAAACATTATACAATCTGTCCTCTGTAGACCAGTTCCAGTGTGCCCATGGAAGGATGTGCATTGAGAAGAGCCAGGTGTGTGATGGTGTGCCTCACTGTCAGGACCGCTCGGATGAAGTGGAATGCACAAAGTACATGGAGGGCTGTTCTCATCAATGCGACAACAAAAGCCGCTGCATTCCCAGTAGCTTCCTCTGTGATGGGGAAAGTGACTGCTCTGATGGCAGTGATGAGGCCAAGTGTGGTATGTGGGCATACTAATGTCCTACCTGGTTTCAGCTTTGCTTGCATATGAGTAATCTTTAATGCTTTGTTTGCCTCCCTCTTGTCAATGTAGACAAGGAGGACTGCAGTGACAAAGAGTTCAAGTGTACCAGTGGCCAGTGTGTGTTGGCCCCAATGCGTTGCGACGGTCACCCAGACTGCCGGGACCGTTCGGATGAGGAAGACTGCACCAAAGTGCCAGCCTGCAACACCAAACTTCGCTGTCCCCAGAGCAAGGAGTGTCTAGTGCAGGAGTGGATCTGTGATGGAGACCAGGACTGCAGAGATGGCACTGATGAGAAGGTGGATGCTAAAAAGCAGCTTCATGCATGCTAAACTTTGAGGAGCAACCATAAAAATCTTTTAAAAATGATTTGGGGAGTGATTTTTATTTATTTATTTTTGTGTTTTTAGGAGCTAGTGATTTAGTTCAGGTCCTGTTTGTGGATAAATGAAGGGGAAATCGTTGTAAATAAAACCAGACATTAGATGTTAGCTGCAGTGTACATCGATGTTGGTGTATTACTGTCATGCCCCTCTTCTTCTGACAGTTTAGATGTCAGGTTCAGAAGGCATGAAGCAGGGTTTCTGCATGTTATTGAATAGTACTTTTTTCTCCTTTAAAACTGCTGCATGTCCTCTGATGGGCTAAATGTTCAGCTGGCCTCCTGCAGTTTTTTTTTTTCCCCCCCTCCCTCCATGATCAGGAGTTGAAATGTAAAGTGCATGTTTAGATGATGATTAAAATTTAATTGGGCTTTCAGGATTGTCCTCCTGTGGCTCCAGTGAACTGTGGAGAGTTCCAGTGGTTGTGCAAATCAAAGACCAAGTGCATCCCTACAGCCTGGATGTGCGATGGCATGAAGGACTGCAATGATGGCAGTGACGAGACTGAATGTGAGTAAATTTGGAATTATTCACAGAATTAAACATCAATGTGAAAACTTGTAGCAGTAAGGGTCTTTATCTTATTCCAGTTTTACCACCTGCTATATCTGTTTAGCACATAGTATAAAAGAGGACATAAAATATGTCGATGCTTGTCTAAGAATATTCTATTTGCAGAATGAGACTGTCACAATTCTTTAATTCAAATTGGGATGTTTAGTTATGTGAGCTGTAAAATGCCTGTAATGTGTAAATTCTAGCTGAAGAGTAGTAAATGGATATTCCTGTACTTTAAACTGCTGCTGAAACCTGTGTGTACATGAATGCTGTTCATGTTTACAGGTCAGGCTGTAACATGTGCCCCTCACCAGTTCCAGTGTGGCAGTCAGGAGTGCCTGGATCCAAACCTGGTGTGCAACGGCATTACAAACTGTGCAGATGGCTCAGATGAGGGAGGAAGCTGCCATACAGACTGTGCAGAGGAAGATAACATGCACTGCTCCCAGGGCTGCTACAACACACCTCAGGGACCGGTAAGAAGTGTGTCTTTAAAATTCTGTGTGCTCGATCAAATTTACCCAGCAGAGACGGTGCCTGAAAATGGACTGAAGGGTGTATGTAGCAATATTGCCATGTAAAGTCTGATTGTTCTGGATAAACAATCCCTTTTGTTGATCCAGTAAAGATGTATATGAAGGCTATGAGCCTGCAGTGACTCAAAGTGAGCAATCTAAATGTTAGATTTGCATTTGGTGTCTCTAGCGCTGTCGCTGTGCAGCAGGTTTCAGGCTCATGGAGGATGGGCTGGCCTGTGCTGATGTTGATGAGTGTAAAGTTCAGACTCCAGGTGTGTGCAGTCAGCTATGCATCAACACTCCAGGCTCGTACAGATGTGACTGTCAGCCGGGCTTTATAATGGAAGCAGATGGACACCACTGCAAAATCACTGGTAAAGCTCCCTTTAATAAACACAGCATGGCGTTGTCACTCTTTAAGTGGAACTGGACAAAGTTGAAAAGGTCAGCATGCTGCAGCCACACCAAAATCAAATGGGTTTGACTTTTGACCCATTTCAAGATTAATAACATTTTTGCTACATTCTGTTAAATATGACAAAAGCAGATGTATTGCAACAGCATACCCATATGGAAAAGATATATAAATCTTATAAAGTTTGTATCTGTCTTGTGTGAAACTTGTATGAAAAGCACACAAGAGTGAAAACAGATAAGATCTCTTGAAAAATTATATAAATGAAACGTGTATGTTTTGGATACTTACTAAAACAATATATGAAAGTAATGAGAAAGTGGCCACTTTCATGAGTGAATCATATAAGCCTTATAAAAGACTTGCATAAGATGTGGCCTACTTCATATAGTGAATCATAAGTTTTTTTTTCTATTTCTTTTCCATATGGGTAGCGGGACATTTTGGGAACTGCACCCATTTTATTTTAATTTTTAACGAGTATGCATGCATGTCTGTTCAAAAACTAAGCCACATGCAGGAGACCACAAACTGGAAGCGGGGGTAAATGCAGGGTGAGGAACACTCATTCTTCTGGTGTGTGACACATTTTCACTTCATTCTCACGCTCACAAGCTGCCCAAAGAAGTCTCATGCCAAATAAGGGCAAGGATCAGAGGGAGGAGAAGCAGTGGGCTCACAGTTGGTGAAATATTTTTATTTTTTGTAATGTCCTTATACAAAAGCTTCTTTCAGCTGCTTCCTTATTCAGAAGAGGTGAGAACAGCAGATGGATCTGCAGATTTGATTTTTATCTGGAGGACTGATACAACCCTCTGAGGGACTCACTTCCTGCTCTCCTCAAACTGGCATCTTTTGTGTGTCAGGCAAATATGTAAACCACAAAATCATGTGTTTAATAGCATTACAAAAATCTAGCCATTCTGCTGAAAGACTCTCCCCTGCCTTTTCACAAGACTTTGCTTACATTGAGTCTTATATTTTTTTTTTAAATCAACATTAAAAAGGTGAAATGGAGCAAAAAGCCTCAGTGTCGAATAACTTATGCATTATGATGATTTTCTTATCCCTCAGGTGAGCCCCTCCTGTTGTCCTCAATCCAAACAGATATCTACTTGTATGGCTTGCGTAGTCACAGCTTGGTTACGTTGCCCTCTTCTGCAAAGAAGGCAGTCTTGTCTCTAGACTATGACTGGAAAGGGCAGAAGGTCTTCTGGGTCAGTCTGGGGATGGATGCTATAATGTGGTCTTCTCTAGATCAGAAGATGACAGGAAGTCTGATTAAAGGTTCGTACAACTCTAATGTGGCTGGAGCATTCAGAGGAATGGCTGTTTACTGTCATGTCTGAAAGTTGTATCAAGGAACCCCTGTGGAAACAAGATGCCACTTGTTTCCACAGGGGTTCGGGCTGATTCTATAGCTGTGGACTGGGTCGGGAGGAATCTGTACTGGATCAATGGGGTGAAGAGTTGTATTGCTGCCATCAGATTGGCAGCAGCCTCTGCAAGCTCACTGGACCAAAGCATCATCTTGGATGAAGACTTGGATCAGCCCCGCTCTCTTGCCCTGCTACCACAAAAAGGGTTGATATGAATTTAAAAAAAGAAGAAAAAAGACAGAACTGTTTCATTTTTTATTTTTTTTTTTTACAGTAAGCGGCATTTGTGGTCTCTTATTTCATCAGGCTGATGTTCTGGACAGAGATTGGTAATGTAGTGAAGATTGAGCGTGCTGGGATGGATGGGTCAGAGAGGAGGGCAGTGGTGAACTCGAGTTTGGGCTGGCCGGGTGGTGTGGCTGTAGATGCCGTCTCTGAGAGGGTCTACTGGACAGATGAAAGACTGAGGGCGATTGGATCTGCAACTCTGGATGGCAACGACATTAGGGTAAAATGTATCTATTTAACCTATCCCAAATCTGCTGTTCTAGCGAAAAGGTTATCAAGCTCTGTCTGTGAAGGCTCTCAGTCATCCAGGTCATCGTAGTGTAAGGCAGCGGTCCCCAACCCCCGGGCCTCGGACCAATACCGGGCCGCGAGAGTTGAGGCTAAGGTGTAAAATGTATAGTTTTTATTGGTTTTCAGCGTTATTTTGTTATCGTTTACTCGGTTTTCCTGGGTCTTTTCACGTGTTATAAATAAATCTTCTTTTTTTTCGGTACCGGTACTAGTTTTTGTTGTATTTATCCGTGACACCTTAAAGGCCGGTCCATGAAAATATTGTCGGGCATAAACCGGTCCGTGGTGCAAAAAAGGTTGGGGACCGCTGGTCTAAGGAGCTTGAAGAGAAAAGCCTCTGAAGAAGCTTCTTCAGAAGCAGAAGCTTCTCGGATGAGAGATGAAACGTCTTCAGTCGACTTAAAGAAGTCCAGATGCTTTTCTTTCCAAGCCTCTTAGTTATCACGCTCTCCTTCTATAACTAAAAACATCACTTTAGATAAGATACCTCTTTCTTGTTATACATAGTACAATGAAATTGGAAAACTGTCTCATGTCAGCACTACATACGACACAACACAGTAACTTGGTAATAAAATGAATTTCTGAAGTCTTTTCCCTAAATGACTCAAGAATATAGAGATGATTTTTGTGTAACGATGAAAAATGTCTAACCTAACTGGTGAAAAATACCTTTTTTATATATAAATGCTGTTTTCAGATTCTACAGATAAAGGAGACCACAAACCCCTTTTCTGTGGCAGTGTTCAATGACATGCTCTACTGGTCTGATGCCAAGAAACGAGTGGTGCAGGCTGCTCATAAAATCTCTGGTAAAAACCATCAAGTTGTGCTGAAAAAGCCCAGACAGCCTTTTGCTGTGAAGGTAAGGAGTAGATGTTGAATTAAAACATGTTAGGAAATGGGGCGGCATAATAATGTACAATTTTTGGATCCTTTCATGTGTTAAGTGCTCATACAAAGCTATTCCATTGTGTTTGAAGATTTT